AAAAAAAAAAAAAACAACTACATTCAGAAAACTTGATAGATCTGACTGTATCCCCAAGCCCAGACTTCTAGATTCCATGAGAGGGAACTTTTTCCTAAGACACGCGTAAGGACTCACTCAGTTTCTCCCATTATTAACCCTTACATTGGTATGGTACATTTGTTACAGTTAATGAATCAATGTTGATATATTGTTGTTGTTATTATTAATTAAGGCTGACAATTTATTCAAATTTTCTTAGTTTTTACCTAAAATCTCTTTTTTATTACAGGACCAATTACATTTAGTTGGCATATCTCCTTGGCTCCTCTTGCCTGTGTAAGTTTCTCAAACTTAGCTTGACAATTTTGAGAAGTACTAGGGAGGCATGGACCCCCAGAACTGCTCCATAGGGTTTTCTTGGCTGTAATCTTAATGAAAACAGATCACCAGGACTTTTCTTTTGCAGTACCACTGGGTAGGTCCAAAACACCAACCTTAGGTTAGCAGTCAAGCACAAACGGTTTTTGCCACCTAGAGACCTTATTCCATCCATAAACATGGCTTATGTCATCATTTATCTCTGATTTTACATCTTTCAATAAACTTACATCATTTTTTCCATAAATATCTCATGCATTTTTTAAATTTTTATTTAGTCCTAGGCATCATAGAGAGTTTGTGGCTATTGTATATTGTCTCTTTTTAAAAAAAATTATCTTTTTCTGTTTGTCTCTAGTACATAGGAGCACAATTGATTTTTGTGCATTTAACTTGTATCCAGCACCTTGTGTCCACAACACCTTCCTAGATTCTCTAAGCAGATCAGCTTGCCTGTAAATTCTCTTGGACTATCTATACAGAATATTATATCTAAGTTTGGCAGCTTCCTTTCCAATTCTTATAAAATTTTTTTTCTTTTCTTATTTTATTGGCAAGGCTCTCCAGTTCAATTGTTAACGGAAGTGATGATACTGAACATCTTCAGTCTATCCCTATCCTTAGAGAGAATGTTTCTACTTATTCTCTAATAATATGATGTTTACTGTAGGTTGTTGTAAAAACCAGTTGCCATCAATTCTACTTCAACTCATGACAACTCCATGTGTGTCAGAGTAGCATTGTGCTGCACAGGGTTTTCAATGGCTGATTTTTTGGAAATAGATCGCCAGGGCTTTCTTCTAAGGTGCCTCTGGGTAGACTCGAACTTCCAACCTTTCAGTTAGCAGCCACGTGCATAAACCATTTGCACCATCCAGGGACTTAGATACTCTTTACTAGGTTGTGAGTTATGTTTTATTCATGTTTGCTATGAATCATTACTTGAATGGGTGTTGATTTTGTCAGGTGCTTTTTCTGCCTCCATTGAGATGATCAAGTGGTTTTATTCCTTTAGTTTGTTAACATAGTAAATTATATTTAAGATGTTTTGAAATGTAAACCTGCATTCTTGGGATAAAACCAACATGGTCATGATGTACTTTTTTACACATGAAATTGTTTGGCTAATATTTTTCATCCATGTTTATAGGTGAACCTGGCATATTATTTTCTTGTTTTTTTTATTGTCTGTCTTTAATATCATGGCTATAAAATTAAGTTTTATAAAATGAGTGTTGGGACTTTTCTTTTTTTTCGACTTTGGAATCCACTGAGCCTGTTACCATCCAGTCAATTCCGACTCAAAGCAACCCTATGGGACAGAGTAGAACTGCCTTTATGGAAGCAGACTGCCACAACTTTCTCCTATGGAGCATCTGGTGGGTTCAAATCACCGACCAATCAGTCAGCAGCCAAGCATTTAACCACTGTGTCACCAGGGCTCCTACTCTGGAACAGTGTGTATAAAATTGGGTTTATCTGCTCCTTGAATGTTTGGTAAAATTCATCTGTAAAACCATCTGGATCTGGGATGTTTTTGTTTTATTTTGGTAATGAGTAAATTTTTAATTATCCATTCAGCTTCTTTAATAGTTACAGGTCTATTAAGGTTTTTATTTAGTCCAAAGCCAGTTTTGCTCAGTTGCATTTTTCTAGGAAATTGCATAGTTCATAAATATTTTCAAATTTATTGGCATAACATTAATAGTTTTCAAAATCTCTATTTCCATGGCCCCTTTATCAAGCTCTTTGTGCACATTTTATTTAGGCTTCTCACTTTTGTTTTCCTCAGTCTTGTCGGAGATTGTCAATTTTATTTATCTTATTTTCCTCAGAGTAACATATTTGGTTCTAGTGTGTCTTATTTTCTAATTAATAAATTTTATTCTTGTTTAAATATTTTCCAATTTCCATTTTTATTTATCCTATAACACAGTAGTTACTTAGAAATGAAATGTTCTTTTTGACTATGAATGCAACACCATTCCTCTTCAATTTGCCATTCCCAGCATAGTAGACCATTTGATTGTCCAATTCAAAATGGCCAATACCAGTCCATTTCAGGTCACTAATGCCTAGGATATTTGATCTTTATGCATTCCATTTCATTTTTTGACAACTTTCAATTTTCCCAGATTCATACTTTGTATATTCCATGTTCCGATTATTAATGCGGCTGTTTCTTCTCATTTTGAGTCATGCCACATCAGCAAATGAAGGTCCCAAAAGCTTTACTCCATCCATGTCATTAAGGTCGACTCTACTTTAAGGAGGCAGCTCTTCCCCAGCTGTATTTTGAGTGCCTTCCAGCCTGAGATAGTGCTCATCTTTCGGCATATATCACTCAATCTTCCACTACTGTTCATAAGGTTTTCACTGTCCAGTTTTTTCGAAGTAGACTGCCAGGTCCTTCCTAGTCTGTCTTAGTCCGGAAGCTCTGCTGAAACTTCTCCACCATGGGTAACCTGGTTGGTATTTGAAATACCAGTGGCATAGCTTCCAGCATCACAGCAACACACAAGCAAAAGAGTAAGACAAACTGACAGCGAGTGTTAACAAGAAAAGATGTCGCTTTGTGGTCTAAGGTGCACCTGACCCAAAATATGGTATTTTGAATTGCCTCATATGCATGCGAAAGCTGGACAATGATGAATTGTCCGAAAAAGAATTGATGCCTTTGAATCATGGGGTTGGCAAAGAATATTGAATACATCATGGACTGCCAGAAGAACAAACAAATCTGTTTTGGAAGAAGTACGAGAATGTGCCCTAGAAGTGAGGATGATAAGACTTCATCTCATGCACTTTGGACATGTTATCAGGATGGAACAGTCTCTGGAGAAGGACATCATGCTTGATAAAGTAGAGGTTCAGTGAGAAAGAGGAAGACCCTCAACGAGATGGATTTGCACAGCGGCTGCCACAATGGGCTCAAACACAGCAACGATTGTGAGATGGTGCAGGACCCGACAGTGTTTCACTCGGTTGTACACAGGGTTGCTATGCGTCAGAACTTACTCGACGGCACCTAACAACAACTTAGAAATGACTTTTAATTTCCAAACGATGGAGATGTTTTGATTATCCTTTTGTTATTGATTTCTAACTTAATTGCAATGTGGTCAGAGAAGTCTGTATATTCTTTTTTTAACAGAGAAAGGCATTGTGACATAATACATAGTTAGCTTTTTGTTGTTGTTCAATGTGTGCTTAGAAAGAATGTGCACTCCCTATGTAACCAAGTTTGTTAATTATATTGCTCAAAGTTCTTATTATCTGCTTTATCCACCCATTACTGGGAAGTGTGTTAAGAATAGCTTGCTATGACTGTGGATTTGTCAATCCCTTCTAATTCTTTCAAATTTTGCCTTTTGTTTTCTCAGGCCAGGTTTTGTGGTGCATGTAACCTTAGAACTGATGAATGGAAATGTAAAATGTAAAAACTCATCTCTTTAGTGAACTGATTTTATAATCCCTATGAAGTGGTTCTGTTTATCCCTAATAAAGTTATTCTAGATTGACATATTATTTTTGACAATCATATTCCAAAGACTTCTGACTTCTACTGTGCTGGTGAAAGGTCGGCTTCAGTTTATTTCTGTGTAGAATATCTGTCTTTCCTCTGTTGTTTTTAAGGTCTTTGCCTTTAGTATTTTGATATGTACTTAGGTGTAAATTTATGTTTATTCATCCAGCTAGGCATATATTGTGCTGCCTAAACCTGTTAAATCCCTGAGTGGTGTAAATGGTTAAGTGCTCAGCTACCAACAAAAAGGTTGGCAGTTTGAATCCACACACAGGTGCCTTGGAAGAAAGGTGTAGAAATCTACTTCTGCAAGAACATAGCCACTGAAAACCCTATGGAGCACTGTTCTACTTTGACACACGTGGGGTCATCATGAATTGGAATTGACTTGACAGCAACTGATAAATGTGATAACTCATGTCTCAGTCAAATCTGAGCCATTATATCTTCGAGTATTTGCTTTTCTTCAATTTTCTCTTTTTTGAGTTTCTGGCACTCCTATTAAACTTGTTTGCTCTACTTATTTTAATCTATATGTCTCTCACCAATTCTTTTATATTTTTCATCTCTCTCTATACTCTATACTGAATTCCATGTAATTTGCTAAGCTCTATCTTCTTGTTTGGAGCCCTGGTAGCACAGTGGTTAATAGCTCAGGTGCTAACCAAAAGTTTGGCAGTTCGAATCCACCAGCTGCTCCTGAGAAACCCTTTGGGGGTAGTTCTACTCTGTCCTATAGGGTTGCTATGGGCTGGAATCGACTTGATGGCAATGTTTCTTTTTTTAATCGTTTGCCAATTTCTCTTCAGCTGAGTATAATCTGCTATTTGACATGTTCATTGCATATTTTAATGTTAACTGAGTTTTAAATTTTAGTGGCTATATTTTTCATTTCTAGATACTCTATTTTCCAAACAAACCACTTATTTCTGTGTCTTGCTTTCACAAGGTTTCAATTCCTTTGTCTTTAATAATTTTAAAGATATATACTTTATATATTTTCAGATTCTTCTATTACCTAACGTCCCTGGGGTTCTTATTTTGCTGAAATATCTGTTGACTTTAATTGTGGATTATTTTCTCATGTTTTGTAATTTTGGATTATGAATTCATCCTGGGTTTATATGTCAAAATCCTGAAAAATATGAGTTAAGGGTATCTCACTTCAAAAATATTTTGTATTTGCTCCTGTAAATTGTTTCAAAGACCAAGACCAATTTCTATGTTGATTAGTCTGTTTTTCAACTAGGAACACATGAATAGGGTAAATTCTAAATTCTAAATCCTGTGAGATGCAGGTCAGTGCTTATGAATCATCAGAGTGAACTATTTCCCTACCCAGGGCTCACTGAGAGACCAACAAGTTTCCTGTACAAAGGAGATTTTTTTTTCCTAGTCCACCTTTTTCCTAAATATGCAGAATTTTGAAAGTTATGAATTCACTAGTTATTTCAATGCCAACTCCCTGCCTTATGTGGGCCCAAGGCTTTGTTTGTTGTCCTCCTGTAGTTCTTAATGCCCAAGCTTCTCAGTAAACAAAACCAAACTCAAAGACGGCAGCTACAGCATCAACTCAGAAACTTAATCTCTGGTTTTCTGTTCCCTCTACATAGTTGGCACCTGAAAACATCTCTTGTTCTCTTGCAAGATGAATTATACATTTAAAAGAATATTAGTCTTTTATTGTCCATTATCTGTGGTTGTTTATAGTGGACAAGCTTTCACATTAGATAAAGTCTACCATATTTTCATAACAGGGAGTCTTAACCTTACACACTTAATATAAATGTAAATAAAACTTAGAAGCTAGCTGATTGAGAGATATCAGAAGATGTCATAAGTGAGAAATGGAATGTGGCACTATAGACTTCGTGTTTAATAATAAATCCAAATTATTCCAGTTATAATGTGTATTTCAAAGACAAAATGGTACAATTTACTGTAGAAGATCTTGGTAAATGTCATTTCATATATTTTGGTGGGTGTGTCTACAAATTCACAGTTATTTTCAGTTAATACAGTTTCAAAGATAAAAAATTATTTTTATGCAGCATACTCAGGAACATAACTCCTATACGTCTCTGGAATTTCTCTGATGCTTATTAGATCTACTGTCTTAATGATTTAATTTAGTCACATATTAAAAAGCTTACTAACCACAGGGAATATAGATACCCTTAATAATTAAATGTATTTTGTAAAAATACATCACTCTAGAGCATCATTATCTTTTTGTTATGGATTGAACTGTGTCCCTCAAAAATACATGTTGAGATCCTAACCCCTAGTACCTGTGAACGTGACCTTGTTTAGAAGTAGGGTCTTTGAAGATATCAGTTAACATGAGGTCATACCAGAGTGGGGGGGTCCTAATCCTACCTGAGTGCTGTCCTTATAAGAGGAGAACGTATAGAGACACGCAGGGAGAAGACAGCCATGCGAAGACGCGTCTACAAGCCAAGAAACACCTGGGGCTACCAGCAGCTGGAAGACACCAGGAAGAATCTTTCTCTAGAGTGGACAGAGCATGGCTCTGTTGACACCATGAATTTGGATCCGAAGCCTCCAAAACTGTAAGACTATACATATCTGTTTTTATAAGCCACTTAGTTTTTGGTATTTCATTACAGCAGCCCTAGGAAATGAATACACCAAGTTTTAAGAGAACATGTTTTTCCTAGTTCACTAAATTGGTAGAATTTCACCTAGGTATTAATCTCTGCATACAGTGGCACTGGATTTCCTGCTGAAAGCTCTTCCGTATTCAGAATATCCAAAATTTTTCATTTCTAGATGTACTGTGACCTCTTGACGAATATTCTCTCTCACTTCATCCATAGAGTTTATCCCTAGTGTGAATTCTGTGGTGTCTAATGAGATTTGCCTTCTGGGAGAAAGCTTTCCCACAGTCAGAGCATTCATAGGGTCTCTTTCCCATATGAGTTCTCTGGTGTATAATAAGGCATGAGTTCTGGGAGAAAAATTTCCCACATTCACTGCACTCATAGGGCTTCTCTCCTGTATGAGTCCTCTGATGTAGAATGAGGTGTGACTTTTGGAAAAAGGCTTTGCCACATTCACTGCATAAATAGGGCTTCTCTCCTGTATGGATTCTATAATGTATAATGAGGCATGACTTCCGGGAGAATGCTTTCCCACATTCTCTGCATCCGTAAGGTTTCTCTCCTGTATGAGACCTATGATGTTCTATGAGACGAGAGTTGTGGGAGAAGGTTTTCTCACATTCTTCACACTTATAAGGTTTCTCTCCAGCATGAATTGTCTCATGTACAGAGAGGCTTGTCTTCTGGGAGAATATTTTACTAGAATTGTTGTTTCTTCTGAGTTTCTCTCCTGTGTGATTTCTCTGACGTTTATTGAGGAAAACCTTCTCCCTGTAGCCATTCCCATGTTCACATTGATTACATTCACAAGGATGCACTCCGGAATGTGTATTTTCAAGCTTTGAATAGAGAAATAAGTTCCCATGTAAATCGTACTCAAATTTCTTTCTCACAAGATATCTGTTAGGACTAAGTAAGTCTACGTTACATTCCAAACTCTTTCCATATGAGTCACATTCACGGGCTTGTTGTCTTGAAGGAACAAGGTTTGTCTTCCAGCAGAATATTTTTTCAAGTGCATTACATTCATGGTGCCTCTCTTCGGTCAATGTTTTCTTGTCTAAGAATGCAACCTGCTTCAAAAGTTTGCCTTTGTGTTCCTGTTGTCTATCTACTTGGTCATCAACTTGCTGAACTTCTTCTAAAAAAAGAAAACACAAACTTGTTCATCTTCCCAGTATCATATCATAGAATTAAAGTACTTCAGAAATGTTTGGAGAGGGGGTTAACTTTTTGGTTTCAAGCCTAATGGTCCAAACTAAATAATAATAATCCTACTACAAACATTTGCTAATCCCTTATAGCTTTTGAAAAGAAAATACGAGATTCTGGAAATTGGGACAAGCATTAACAATGAATATAAGTAGCTTTACTATGAACAAATTTTTTTACAAAGTAAATTGGGGAGAAGATAAAAGCAGACACAAGTAAATGTGAGCAAGAGAAAAACTGGAAGCAGATTCAGGTTTGATGGCATTGTTGTGATGATGAACCGGCTTGGGATGGTAGTGTAGTGAACCCTGATTTGTAGCATTTGCCATTTCCCATGGTGAAAATATCTGCATCACAGCAGATTTCAAGCTACCAACATGACATAAAAGAAAAAAGAGAAAATAAAAGATAGCTAAAAGCCCTGGTGGCACAGTGGTTAAGAGCTCGGCTGCAAACTAAAAGGTCGGTAGTTCTAATCTACCAGCTGCTCCTTGGAAACCCTGTGGGGCAGTTCTACCCTGTCCTATAGGGTTGCTATGAGTCGGAATCAACTCAATGGCAACAGGTTAAAAGGAACATGAAGTGGCATAAAATAACACAGTTGATTTTTTAAATCTGGCAAATTTATGAATCCCTGAGAGCAAGAGTAAGCCTATTTTACAACCACGGGGAAAGTGTAAGATGGAAGATTCCAGAAAAAGCTGAGCTAGCAAGGTCTTAGATGAGGACAGCAGGGTAGAATAAAAGGGATATGTCTTTCTCCAGGGAAAGGAAAGCAACATGTGGTGATGTGTGATGCATGGAGGTGGGAAGAGTAATTCAAGCATGTCAATAGTGGGCCAAATTTGGTGACCGCCCTGACAAGGAACACAAGAGAGTCCCTGAAGGAGTAGGAGAAAAGTGGGTGCAGAACTCAAATTCTAGTAAAAAGACCAGACTTAATGGTCTGACTGAGGCTGGACAGACCCCGGAAGACATGGCCCCTGGACTCTCTGTTAGCCCAAACCTGAAACCATTCCCAAAGCCAACTCTTTAGACATAGATTAGACTGGACTATAAGACATAAAATGATACTTGTGAATAGAGTGCTTCTTAACTCAAGTAAATACATGAGACTAAATGGGCAGCTCCTGTCCAGAGGCGAGATGAGAAGGCAGAAAGGGATAGGAGCTGGCTGAATGGACGTGGGAAATCTGGGGTGGAAAGGAGGAGTGTGCTGTCACATTACAGGGAAAGCAACTAGGGTCACATAACAATGTATGTATACATTTTTGTACGAGAAACTAACTTGAACTATAAACTTCCACTTAAAGCACAATTAAAAAAAAAACAAAAAACAGTGGGCCAAATTTGGACATTGGGCATACAATGTCCATAGCAGCTTGTAAAAATCGAACAGTTTCCTGAAACAAAAAAACTCCCAAGGTTCTCTTTCTTTATCACCTGGAACCTTATTTCCACTGACTCCTTGCATGCTGGTTCTTTCTCACCTGAGAAGCTCCACCCAAGGATCTCTTCCACCTCCATCTATGGTTCCTCCCCCTGCTCCAACCTGGAGATCACAGCTGGTTTGATTTGTGCTGAGCCACATGGGTTTCTGAACATCTACAGAAGCAGAAGGTTCAGGTTGCACAGTGATTTACGTATCGGCCAAAGAGAAGATAGATATTTCATTACTTGGGAGGTAAATTTACAAACTATCCAGGTGAGACCAAGACTCTTGGACCACTGGAACTCAAGGTCACACACTGCTACTACTTAAAAGGTTTCACAGTTGTACATAACTGAGAAAAGAAAGGTACTCTGACGTAGTCTGAGGAATACAGGGAAGTTGCCCTCACCCACAGTGACTAGGTGGTTGTAGTTCTCCAGCATCACATCACTGTACAAGGTCCTCTGGGCAGGGTCCAGCTGCTGCCACTCCTCCCGGGTGAAGCCCACAGCCACATCCCTGAAGGACACTGACCCCTGGAACAGCACATTCCTGATTAATCTGGAGTGGTTGGCACCAAGTATTGTGGTAAGGGTGTAGAGGAAATTGACATTACTACCTTCATAGGTCAGGTTTCCCCCTTTGGAATCATACAGAAAGCTTAATATGCCCCTAATTTTGTATTACGCTTTGTGGGAGAAAAATAAAAAGATCACTAGAAAAGACCTCCTTCTGGAATGATCTCCATTCATTCCTTCAGTGAGCAAGTATTTATTGAAGACTTGGCATTCGGCTTGGTGCTTGAGATGGAAAGCTGGATGCGACATTGCTCATATCCTAAAGGTGCTAATAGTCTGGTGGAGTGAGATGAACATATAAATGTAACCGTGTAATAAGATTTCAGTGAAGGCTATGACAGAAGTATACTTAAGTACAGGACAAGCACCAAGAAGGCAGCAGTCAATTCAACCTACCGATGCCAAGTTAAGCTTCATAGGTCATGTTTGAGCAGAGTCATTGTCATGGATTGAACTGTGTCCCCCAAAAATATGTGTCAACTTGGTTAGGCCATGATTCCCAGTATTGTGTGGTTGTCCTCCATTTTGTGATTGTAATTGTACGTTAAAGAGGATTAGAGTGGGATGGTAACACCCTTACTAAGGTCACATCCCTGATCCAATGTAAAGAGAGTTTCCCTGGGGTGTGGCCTGCACCACCTTTTATCTTACAAGAGATAAAAGGAAAGGGAAGCGAGCACAGAGTGGGGGACCTCATACCACCAAGAAAGAAGCACCAGGAGCAGAGAGCGTCCTTTGGACCCAGGGTTCCTGCGCAGAAAAGCTCCTAGTCCAGGGGAAGATTGAAGAGAAGAACCTTCCTCCAGAGCCAACAGAGAGGGAATGACTTCCCCTAGAGCTGATGTCCTGAATTGGGACTTCTAGCCTACTAGACTGTGAGAAAATAAATTTCTCTTCGTTAAAGCCATCCACTTGTGGTATTTCTGTTATAGCAGCACTAGATGACTAAGACATTCATAAAAGAGAAATAGTATGTTCTGGAGTCCCTGAATGGTATAAATGGCTAACGTGCTTGGCTGCTAATCAAAAAGTTGAAGGTTGGAGTCCAATTAGACGCATCTCAGAAGAAAGGCCTGGCAATCTATGTCCAAAAAAATCAGCCACTGAAAGCCCTATGCAGCACATTTCTACTCTGATACACATGGGTCGCCATGAGTCAGAATCAACTCAATGGCAACTGATTAGCTCGTTCCGATGTCTGAAGGATATTCCTATTAACAAGCATGGCATGAGCCAAGGCAGAGTCATGGAAAAGTCTGGTAATTTTAAGAACTGCAAATAGTTGAGAATGACAGTTGTTATAGATTGAATTGTGTCCTCCAAAAATGTGTGTCAACTTGGCAAGGCCATGATTCCCAGTATTGTGTGATGGTCCACCATTTTGTCATCTAATGTGATTTTCCTATGTATTGTAAATCCTGCCTCTATGACGTTAATGAGGCAGGATTGGAGGCAGTTGTGTTAATGAGGCACGACTCAATCTGCAAGATTAGGTTGTGTCTTAAATCAATCTCTTTTGAGATATAAAAGAGAGAAGAGAGCAGAGAGACAGGGGACCTCATACCACGAAGAAAGTAGAGCCAGAAGCATGTGTCCTTTGGACCCGGGGTCCCTGCTCTGAGATCTCCTAAAGCAGGGGAAGATTGATGACAAGGACCTTCCCACAGAGCCGACAGAAAGAGAAACCCTTCCTCTGGAGCTGGCGCCCTGAATTCAGACTGCTAGTCTCCTAGACTGAGAGAATAAATTTCTCTTTGTTAAAGCCATCCACTTGTGGTATTTCTGTTACAGCAGCACTAGATAACTAAGACAGAATTTGGTACCGAGAGTGGCATACTGCTCTAAACAGATACCTACAATGTGGCAACAGTTTTGAAACTGTGAATGGATAGAGGCTGGAAGAGTTTTAAAATACCTAATAGTAAAAGCCTAGATTGCCATTAAGAGACTAATGATGGAATTATGGACATCAAAGACAATTCTGGTGAGGACTCAGAAGGAAATGAGGAGAGCTGTCACTGGAGATGACCCAGATGGCAAGCAGCAGCAGCAGAGAACTGGCCGCAGCAGAGAAACAGCAGCAGCAGAACCAGGAGACCAGCAGCAGCAGCAGAACTTGGAGACCAGTGCGAGACAGCACTAGAGCCGACCCATGGAGTGAGAGAGTTGAGTGACTTTGGTAGAAGGCTTCCTGGCAGAGTAGGGTGCCTCTGAGCACTTATAAGTGGAGAAGGCTTGATGACCCATGAACAAGAGAGCTGAGTGCCTTCTGGCAGAAGTTTACTGGTGGAGTGGAGTGCTTCCAGGCACTTCTTGGTGGAACTACAGAGCTTTGGAACACTTGCCCAAGCAGGGCAGATACAGGCTGCAGCCCGAGGGACCGAGAGACCAAGAAACCAGGAAGCAGAAGCTGAAGAGACAAGGAACACAGGAAGCAGAGCTGTTCAGTCTCAAAGGGTATGGCCATCACCTCTGAGGTCTCAAAGGGTGGAGCTGTCACTAAGATGGACTAGGAGAATGGGGCCACCTAAAACCAAGGGAGCAGAGTTGCTGTCCCAGTGGGCCCAGAAGGTGGAGCTGAAGCCCAAGGCTGAGGGGCCTCCACTCCGAATCTGGACAGTATGGTCAATACCTAGAGTCTGGAGGGCAGGGCCATTGTGTAAATGGTCTCAGAGAACAGAGGATTATTTTCAAATTTTAAGGCTAGTGTAATGTGTTCTGCTGACTTGCTTGGTGCCTGTTATCCTTTCTTTCCCTCCACTTTCTCCCATTTGTAATGGAAATGTCTAGCTTGTGCCTGTTCCACCATTGTACTTTGGAAGCAGACAATTTGAATTCTAGATTTCAAAGGTAAAGAGGAATTTTTGGGTTTTGGACTTGGAGTTGATTTAAGACTTTTGCTCTGATGGGGTGAATGTGTTTTACATGTGATAAGGACATGAATTTTGGGGGGTCAAAGGGTGGAATGCTACTGATTGAATTGTGTCCCCAAAAAATGTATGTCAACTTGACTAGGCCATGATTCCCAGTATAGTGTGATTGTCCACCATTTTGTCATCTGATGTGATTTTCCTATGTATTGTAAATCCTACCTCTATGATGTTAATAAGGCAGGATTAGAGGCAGTTGTGTTAATGAGGCACGACTCAATCTACAAGATTAGGTTGTGTCTTAATTCAGTCTCTTTTGAGATATAAAAGGGAGAAGTGCAGAGAGACAGGAGGACCTCATACCACCAAGAAATTAGTGCCAGGAGAATAGCATGTCCTTTGGACCCTGAGTCCCTGTGCTGAGAAGCTCCTAAAGCAGGGGAAGATTGATGTCAAGGACCTTCCCACAGAGCTGACAGAAAGAGAAAGCCTTCCCCTGGAGCTGGCACCCTGAATTCGGACTTCTAGCCTTCTAGACTCTGAGAGAATAAATTTCTGTTTGTTAAAGCCATCCACTTGTGGTATTCCTGTTATAGCAGCACTAGATAACTAAGACAACAATATAGGGGATAAGAGGTGTGTGTGGGGGAGTAGGGGGGTGGGAGGGTGGGGGTGAGAGAGAGAGAGAGCACCGATTGAATGACAAATTAAGACTTTTCCTATAGGCAATGGGGACTCCATCATGGTATTTAAGGAACTGCAGAAAGATAATTTGATGTAGAAGAAAGGAATCACTAAAAGGGAGAATAAATAAGAGACAAATTAGGGCACAATTATAATCATCTACATGAAATATAGTCAAAATTAAGGTGGCAGCCAATAGATGGATCCTGATAGAAAAGAGAAAAACGTGGAACAGAACTCAAACTCCTAAAAAGTCTAAACTTACTGGACCAGTTGAGACTTGAGGACTCCCCGAGACTACTGCCCTGAAATACTCTTTAAACCTTAAACCAAAATTATTACTTGAGGTCACAGATTCACTAAATAAAAGACTGGCTCATAAAATATCACCTGTGAGTAATGAACTCCTTTTGAAAAACCATCTGTATGAGACCAAATGGTCAAAAATTACTCTAAAGCAAAGATGAGATGGTTAAGGGGGCAAGGAAACTAGAGTACTGGAAAGGCTACAACCAGAATAGAATGAATGAGAATGATGACACACTGTGAAAAATGTAATCAATATCACTGAATAATTTCTGTAGAAATTGTTAAATGGGAACCTAATTTGTTGTCTGCGTTACAAGGGCAACTGGGTAGTTTTTGGTGCTACTGGGAAAACAGGAGGAGAAACACGTTAGCTTCCAGACTGACAGAAAAGCCTGGTGATCTACTTCCAAAAATTAGCCAATGAAAACCTTATGGATCATGACAGAACACTGTCTGACTCACTTGCTTTGGACATGTCATCAGGAGGAATCAATCGCTAGAGGAGGTCATCATGTTTGGTGTAGTGGAGAACCTATGAGGGTGAGGGAGACCCTTGGTGAGATGGATTGGCACAAGAACCACAATGATGGACTCAAACATGCTGGCAACTGTGATGATGACTGGGCAACGTTTCATTCTGTTGTACATAAGGTCACCATGATTCAGAGTCGACTCCATGGAAGCTAACAACAACAACAAATACTGCTTAAGCCAGCCTAACAACATGTTTAGTACTTATGTTCTACCTGTTAGTTCACTGCATAGTGCCTAGCATCTTAAAAGGTTGCAAGTGGCCATCAGAGGTATAACAATTGGTCTCTATTCACTTGGGGCAACAGAGGAAGAAAAAAAGTCAGGAACAGGAGGAGGAAAGGGAATGTGTGGTTAATTGCTTCCACGAACAACTGTCTCCTCTGCCTTGAGACCACAGAACTTGATGGTGCCCAGCTACCATTACGGAACATTTTGATCAAAGATTCTATAGAAAAATCCTGATTAAAAGGGGGAAAATGTAGAACAGAATTTAAAATTCTCATGGATTCCAGACTTCCTGGAGCCATGGAGGGTGGATGAAGCCCTGGAAATATTGCCCTGAGATTTTTAAACCTTAAACCAAAAATATCTCCTGAAGTCTTCTTAAAACCAAATAGTAGTTTAGCTTAATAAAGAATGTTTGCCTTGAACATTATGCTCTTTTAAGATATATGGGATCAAACTGACAACAGCAACTTGAAAGATTAGATAGAAAACATAGGTGACAGTGAGTTTACGTTAATAGCGGAGGAAAACCAAAACCAAACCCATTGCCATTGAGTCTATTCCAACTCCTAGCAAGACTGTAGGACAGAGTAGAACTGTCCCATAGGGTTTCCAAGGCTGTAAATCTTTATGGAAGCAGACTGCCACACCTTTCTCCTGCAGAACAGCTGGTAGGTTTGAACTGCCGCCCTTTTGGTTAGGAGCTGAGTGCTTAACCACTGCAGTACCAGGGCTCCAATGGGGGAGGAACAACTTGGAAAAAGACAGTGAGAATTGTTGCACAATTCGAAGAATGTAATCAATGTCACTGAATTATACGTGCAGAAATTGTTGAACTCATATATGTTCTGCTCTGTATACTCTCAACAACAACAAAATAGAATAAATTATAAAAAACAAATGCTGCTTAAGCCAATGACTCCTTAACATCGATACTGACCTAGGGCAAACTATACCAGTGCTGTTCAGTAGACATAATGCAAGCCACACATGTAATTTAAAATTTTCTACTAGTCATATTAAAAAAAAAAAGTTAAAAAGAAACAAGTGAAATTAAGTTTAATTATGTATTTTATTTAACACAATATATTCAAAATACCATGTCAACTAGCAATCATTATTTTAAAATTACTAACATATTTTTCTTTTTTTTCCACATCACATTTTTCAAAAATCTGGTGTGTATTTTACATGTACAGCACATCTCAATTCAGACAGTATATTTTCAATGGTTAAGGTGAAATGTAGTCCTCTCAAAACATTCAGGTTATGTTTAATGGAAAAAATATTTTACTCTAATTCAGTTAAATGAAATTAAAACTTAAATGTAAGTTAAATTAAAAATCTAGTTCGTTGGTCACACTAGCCACACTTCAGATGCTCAGTGGCCACATGTGGCTAATGACTACCATACTGAACTGCATAAACACTATTGTGTTCCTTTGCTGGGTGCCTTAGTTATCTAGGGCTACTGTAACAGAAATACCACAAGTGGATGGCTTCAACAAACAGAAATTTATTTTTTCACAGTTTAGGAGGCTAGAAGTCTGAATTCAGAGCGCCCACTGGAGGGAAGTCTCTCTCTCTGTGGGCTTTGGAGGAAGGTCCTTGTCTCTTCAGCTTCTGCTTCCTGGTTCCTTGGAGATCTCCATGTGTCTTGGCATCTATCTTATCCCTTCTCTCCTCTGCTCCCTTGCTGCTTTAATCTCTTTTACATCTCAAAAGAAACTGACTCAATACACACCCTACACTAATCCTGTCCATTAACATAACAAAGACAACCCATTCCCAAATGACATGATAACCACAGGCATAGAGGTTAGGATTAATAACACATATTTTTGGGGAACAGTTCAATCCATAGCACTGGGGATAAGGTATTGATAGGTAAAACTAAAGTTCAGATCTATCATTATAGGCCCAGTTCTATTGTTCCTGTTGTTGTTAGGTGTCATTGAGTCAGTTCCAACTCATAGCAACCCTGTGTACAAAAGGATGAAACATTGCCAGGTCCTGCACCATCCTCACAATCATTGCTATGTTTGAGGCCATTGTTGCAGCCACTGTGTCAATCCATCTCGTTTAGGGTCTTCCTCTTTTTCGATGACCCTCTTCTTTACTAAGCATGATGTCCTTCTCCAGGGACTGGTCACTCCTGATAATGTGTCCAAAGTACGTGAGACGGAGTCTCACCATCCTTGCTTCTAAGGAGCATTCTGGCTGTACTTCTTTCAAGACAGGTTAGATTTGTTCATTCTTCTGGCAGTCCATGGTATATTCAATATTCTTTGCCAATACCATGATTCAAATGCATCATCAACTCTTCTTCAGTCTTCCTTATTTGTTGTCCAGCTTTCGCATGCATATGAGGCGACTGAAAACACCATGGCTTAGGGCGGGGGCACCTTAGTCCTCAAGGTGACATGTTTGCTTTTCAACACTTTAAAGAGGTCTTTTGCAGCATATTTGCCCAATGTAATACATCATTTGATTTTTTGACTACTGCTTCCATGGGTGTTGACTGTGTATCCAAGTAAAATGAAATCCTTGACAACTTCAATATTTTCTCCATTTATCATGATAGTCTGTTCTATAGTTTGTCTGATTCAGATCCCAACTCCACCACTTAACAGATGTGAGGCCTAAGGCAACTTATGTATTCTTATCTCTAGCCTTCTATACAGAAGACTGGGTCCAATTCATGGCCAATGTACCTCCAGTGTAGCCACCACTCATCTGTGGAGGCTTGAGGGTAGCTATGATGCTGAACAGGTTTCAGTGGCATTTCCAGACTTAAGACAGACTAAGAAGAAAGTCTTGGTGATCTACTTCCAAAAATCAGCCAATGAAAACTCCATGGATCACAATGGTCCAATCCCATTTTGCATGGGGTTGCCATGAGCTGGGAGCCAACTTGACGGCAGCTAACAACAACAACAGCCTCAGTCTGTTCATCTGTAAAATGAGAGGAAGGGAATAATAATAATTTCTATCTCACAGGTTTATTCATGAAACAGTATATGAAAACCACAGAGCCTGGCATGTAAGTGCTCAACAGATAGATTTGTATAACTTTTATTGCTATTATCCCCTAACAGGGAGACTCTCCCAATGTGACTTGGTTTTCCAAAAAACAATAGCTTCTGAAGAAGACACCAAATGAAACCTCCACCCTGACGCCCAGGTCTGACCACCTCGGGTCACAGCCAGCTCTCTCCTCAGAATGCAGTGGAGTTACTACTTTGTCTTCAACCTCATACTGGTCCTGCTCTAAGTCCTAGCTTTACAGAGCTCAGCCACTCCCACAAGATAGGTTCCCAAGATAGAAACCAAGGCCCTGTGAATGCTTTCTTTTCTGGAGGGGTCCCTGGGAGGTGCAAATGGTTAAGTGCTCAACTACTGACAGAAAGGTTGGCAGCTCAACCCCACCCAGAGGCACCTCAGAAGAAAGGCCTGGCTATCTGCTTCCAAAAGGTCACAGTCTTGAAAACCCAATGGAGTGCAGTTCTACTCTGAAACACACAGGGTTGCCATTGAGTCAAAATCGACTTGATGGCAACTGGCTTTCCTTGGTTTGGATGGTTTTGGTGTTCGTCCATGAGAACTCATTCTCCTCTGGGACTAACACTCTCCTACCCCTACTCCAACTCTGAGGTTTTCTTGGGAGCTCCCAGTCAGAGCACCCATTCCCTCAGTCCTCAGACATGGCTGACTGGACGAAGAGGCTCTAAACTGACACTAAGCAGGACCAACCTGAATCTTTCCCAGAGATCTTTGAGACTGGATCTAAGAAGGCGCCTGTATCCCTTCGCATGGTAAAAACTGTGAACATGAGGTGTATGAGCCAAGGGCTGTCACGTCTGGCCATGTGGATGGAGTCAGCATGAGAGAATGAAGTCGCAGAAATAGACAAGGGGACAAGAAAGGCTCCTGACAATATCTAGGTTCCCGTTGGGTTCTCTGAGGCCCAGCTGCAAACCTGCTCCTCCCATAGCTGGGGGTGCTCCTAGTAGGGTTTTTCTTCCTAAACTAGTTCTAGTTGGGTTTCTGGCTCTGTTATGGGTTACATAGTATTCTCCCAAAATTTATGTTGCAGTCCTAACCCCTGGTACCTGTAATCTTGACCTTGTTTGGAAATAGCACCTTTGAAGATGTTATTAGTTAACAGGAGGTCATACTGGAATAAAATGGGTCCTAATCCAATAGGGCTGGTGTCCTTATAAAAAAAGGGGAGACGGCCATGTGAAGATGGAGGCAGAGCTCAAAGTGATGCAGCACAAGCCAAGGGAAGCCGGGGGCCACCAGAAGTTGGAAGAGACAAAGAAGGATCTTCCCCGAGAGGCTTCGGAGGTAGCATGGGCCTGCTGGCATGTTGATTTCAGACTTCTGGCCTCCAGAAATGACAGAAAATAGATTTCTGTTGTCTGAAGCTGCCCAGTTTGTGGTATTTTGTTATGGTACCCCTAGGACACTAACTCAGGCAGTTATAACTTGGAGAGTTTGGACCAAAACCTTTCACATTCAGGCATTCCCAGAACCCAGGAAAAGAGAGAGATACTTCAGGAGTAGAGAAATCTGAGACGCTATCAGGCTGGTGGAAACCAATGATGTCAAAAGAAAAGACAGTGATAACCAAGTGAGCAAGGACTCCAAGGAGGCCAAGGGCAGACAGGTGAGGACAAAACTCTGAAAGAAGAAGGTGGCTTTCTCTTTAGACTAGAGGAGAAATGGTCACGGGGGCCCAACTACCTTCCCTCCACACCTTTGCCAAAG